AAACTGAGTGGGGTCCAAGGGGTTCCCCCTCTTTGGAGGCCAGTAAACACATTGTTAAGGTGCCATTCTTTCCTCTGCCGTCCTCCCTGCCCAAGAGCTCAAACCCATGCCCTGTATGACCCTGTTTCTCGTCTTCCTCTGTAGACCTGCTTCCTTATAATTAGAGTGAAGGAGCAAATCTTTTTTACTCTTTCACTGGGAACTACATGGCAAGTGTAGGGAGTTTCCAAGGGTTTCTCATGAACGGGAAAGCATGTGAGTTCCAAGTGTAGCACTTTCACCTTTGTTCTTTGTTCCCTTGGGCCCCAGGGATGAAGTCTTTGTGGAGTAAGCAGCTAGAAGAACAGATAGTGAGTTGAATTCACCTCAGCTGTTGTAGTTGAGTACATGGCAAACGGTGTGCGGTATAGAAACTGAAGACTCTCATACCTTTTTTAGGGCATAAAAATGCTGGGATCTTTTGATATACTGTCATCTTGAAGTAGGGGCAGGGAGTGAAATTGGTCAGAAAGTAATCACTCCAGGTAAGGTATTGATGACGGGGAGCTAAAGGATTATGAATATACTTAACTGCTAGGTTCTTTGTCAACACATCGTTACAGAAATTGGTCTTCTCAGTTGCATGTCCAGTGTTTTCTTTTATTATTGGAGATGGTACTGCATGAAAATAAGCTGAATTGTAGATATCTTTTTCTTTTTGAAGTGCAAATGGTTATCAAAACCTACCTTTTAATGGCATTACTACTGCATTGCTGTTATATTGTTTGAAGTGTTAGTGCTCCCCTTTCCTTCAGACCTTGGTTTTGCTTCTTAGGTTGCACGTCTTCAAAAAATCCCTGATGGTGACAATGAGACAATGATTCCTGTACTGTCTTCAAAGAAAGCAAGTGAATTGCCAGTTGATGAAGTTGCAAGCATTCTGCAAGTAAGTGATTTTTGTGTCTCTTAAGAATGCAGTGATGTTACCAAACAATAAGCTTGAAACTTCTTAAGGACAGATGTTGTCATTGACGGTCTATGCATTACCATGCAGTTTGATGTTAACTTATTAACTGTTGTCTACTAAAAACATACTGATTTTTAAATTGTTACTTGAAATGCTCTAGTCTAACGTTTTCAAAACAATCAGGTTTTTGGACAGGGGGATGAAATTCAACTTAAAAACGGTCAGATTTTTATATGCTTTGAAGAGTGCTTTTGGTTAATAAAACTCCTAGAGTCAATGTTCCTATAAAATTCAGTTCTGTTTTCCAGAGCTATTGCTGCCATTTCTTTAAGGGATCCTTAATGGATTTAATTTATTTTGGTAGCCTCCATTTCAAGTGAAGGAACAAGATTGAGAAATCTACTCATTGACAGATTTATGAACCATTGAATCTGAGTTAATTTTCATGATAGATGGTCTGGTTTAATTTTCTGTATGCTTGACTGTTGGAGGAGTACACCCTGATGAATGTTGGTCACTGACAACTGAAGACTTTGAAGCTGTTGCTGTGTTATTTGGCTGAGAACTCCTGACAGAATCCTCGGGAGTCTGAACTGTGCCCACAGTTTGGCTCGCTGAAGGGTTTTCTGCAAGGAAGATCAAGAGTCATTTAGAGATGTGAAACAGCATCTGCTTCTGTTGTTCTTCTGTGAATTTTTTTGTTGAAGTACTCTTAAGTACTGCCAAATTGAGTTTTAAAATAGTGGTTAGTTAGCTTTTACTGTCATACAACATTAGTATCGAGCCTGTCTTTCTGATGTTGGCCAAACATTTATAATCAGAGGGTATAGATTTTGGTGTTGGAATTTATTTTGAAGTCTAGCAGCTTATCAGTGTAATTTCTGACTGTGTTCTTCTTGCATATTTTAATAGGCTAATCTTCAAAATGGCTTAAAAAACTGTGAAGTTTGTCATAGACGGGCATTCCATGGATGGAATGAATTTGATATTAGTGAAGATGAACCACTGTGGAAAAAATACATTTCCCAGGTTAAGATTTTTGTCCTTTTTGTTTTTTGGTTTTATTGTGTGTCAGTCATTTTGCTCTTTATTACTTTGCTTTCATGGGCATGAACATATTCTCATAAAAGCTGGGACGCTGTAATAGAAATAGAAATTGCAACTTCTATGATTTATATGTAATTTACCTATTGATCTGTTCTTGAATGTGTGTTCATAACTAGCCTGAAGGCTGGAGAAGCAGGATAAAGTTCCCTGTAGGAACATGGGCTCGAGCATGAGTCGCACAAAGGTCAGACAGAAATGCTTGTGGCTGGTAGGCATTTAAATGGGACATGAAGGATGAATAACTTTATAGACAAAGGACATTTTAAAAAGCAAAACCGCTGCCATTGAACTGAGGGTGGGGATGGGGCCAGCCTCCATTCTGCTGTTGAGCAGAACTGGCAGAAGTCACATGTGAAGTTTTTCCTACCAGTGTGATTTATTATGTACATAGATGAGACGGTGCAGGTTCTCAAAATGGTGTGGAAGTGTCACTGCTTCCTCCTGCCCTCCCCTGCCACCCGGCTCCACAAACCATTTACAGCATCTTTTCGCACAGAAGATTTTTCTAAAGAATTTGTAATGTTAAAAGTTTTAGTCAATGTTTCCTGCACCTCATCTGAGCAGCAGGGCAGTTAAGATCTAGAGTAAACCCTGGAGTAATAGACAGCTGTTTCTAGAGGAACTGTTTTACTTGGGAGTGACTAAATGATCCTTGGCGCTCTGCTGATGGTAGCAGTGGGAACATCATCACGTACTAGCTGACCTCTGCAATCAGTGCTTTATTTTCCCATGTGTGGTGTCAAATTAGTCAGATATATCAGAACACTTCTAAAGCATGTTAACCAAGTCTATTTTAGGTAGGATTTTTTAAGATACATATTTGGTTTGAATGTGCTTATCATATGTGCTTTTAGAATGTTCTTTAACTGTAGGAATGTAATTTTTGGTAACATTTCTCAAAAAAACTGACCATGTTAGCATCCAGCTGTCATGTAGAACCAAGATAATTAATTATTTTGGCCATAGAAATCTGAAGAAAGCATATGATCTAAAAGGAAATCTTGCATCTCGTAAAACAAGAAATCATGAATTGAAATTAGGAAGTACCTTTCTGTCTTGATAGTGATCACTTGCTGGAAACAGAATCAGCCTGTTACCTCAAAGGCATTTTGAATATATTTCAGGCTTCTTTGTTTGTTTATGTGTCTTTAAACAAATACAGGAAATTATTCTTTTTGTCTTAAAAATGTGAATCAAGAAATGTAAGAAACAGTTTTTTCCTGCTATATATTGAATATACTCCATTCAAGGTCTGTGATATTAAAAAAAAAAATTAACCTCAAGTACTCAAATAAAATCTGAATTGTACAAAGTCAGATTTTGTTTGCAGTGGTAACCTAGAAATATTTTTATTATAGAATAATATGCTTCAAAAATAGATCAGATGTGCTTTGAGTGGGGGGCAAAATGATCTTACTGCAAGGAGTATTGCTGAATTACTGTTATGTTTCATTTCAGTTTAAGAATCCGCTTATTATGCTTCTCCTGGCATCTGCAGTCATCAGTGTTTTAATGCATCAGTTTGATGATGCTGTCAGTATCACTGTGGTAAGGAACTAAAATTTCATCTTCTTTGAGAGCACTGCAGAATGTGTGACCACATGTGCTTCAGTATCGCCTGAATGCCAGTGTGGGATGCGATCACTTGATTCCAGTTAATGAACTTGTTGTGTATGCTGTCATTAAATCTTAGGTTTGTAACTGGATTATGTGTGGTTTGACTTTTTTTTGGTGTGTTGTTTTTTTTTTTTTTTTTCCCTGACTGAGAGTAGTAATAAACATAAATACATCAGCAAATAATTATCTGGCTGCAACTTGCATCTTTACTCTTTAATTGGTTGAAACACCTGTCTAGGCATTTGTTCAGAGTAGCAATTTTTTGGTGTCTTCTATGTAATTTGTATTGTAAATTATGCTTTAATTTCAAATTGAAACCAACATAAGCCTTCTGTGAATTTACTTGAAAGATGTAATATTTTAAAATATGAAGAAGAAATGTAACGTGAACTCTTTAGAAATAGCAGAAGGAAGATAGAAGCTGAAATAATGAATTTTTGTAGAAGTTTGCAGTTAAATAGGGTGCTAAACTAGTGAGCAAATATAGTACTGCTAAACATTTGTCATTGCAAAAGACACAGTGATGAAAATTGTAATCTCTTCGACCTTTTTGGGGTGATAGGTGATAACTGAAAATTGGGATTTCTGAATTGGAATAACTGAAAATTGGGATCAGAGGCAAGTTCTAGCTGTATTTCTGGCTTGGCTGAACTCTGCACTCTTTATGTTGAGTTTTATTTTTGTAATTAACACAAGGTAACTTCAGGTTTACTCCTAACCCCTCTAATTCTCTCGAAAGAGTAGTTTACCGTGGAAGATAAACTATATGGCTTCTTTAAGAAAAAACATGCAATTTTGAATTTGAGTATGGTCTTAGTTTGGAATGATCTGTTGTGTTCATAGGTTGAATTTAGGTAAAATTCAAATTCAAAAAATTGTATTATGAAATGTATTTAATAGTTGTGGCTGAAAGTTGAATTATTTCCTGCTCTTCTTCCCTTGGTTAGTGCCTTTAAGTCCATTTCCCCTTGAGCAAGGCAACGAGAAAAGCATAGCTAGTGTAAGGGATTTTAATTTCTGCAATCTGTGCTACAGCCTGAGAAGGTATCTTTAACAGCCTTGTGAACACCGGTGGAGATGTCTTAAAATATTAGGAAAAAGTGTGGTTGAGTTAAAGCTCATCAATTGCGTTTTTGTATAACTTCTGAATAACCTACTACTCAGTCTTGTCATTCACGCCTACTTTTTCACCTAGTGAATATTTGGTTTGCTCCATTTTCAGATGGTAGTGCAGTTTTTCTGTGACTGTATATCTGTGCTCAGGGCCTTGGCGACAAAACTAATTTGCTGCAAAAGATCAATGACATATTTCTGCTGGTGGCAATGCTGGCTTGAGCAGCTTTTGCCATCTTTTTAGCTCTGCTGATACGAATGTATTGTAAAGCTTTTTAATCTGGACTGGGAGCTGATGAAGATTTAAAAAAAAATAATTACATACCTTTTCTCAAGTGGAGAATATTGGCTTCTTGGTGCAAGCTGTGGCATGTAGACGCAAGCTGAGACTTCTGAGGCTAGGAATGCAAAGCTGCGTCAGCGAGCATGAGCTGTAGAAGATAATACTGCCTCCAAAAGAAACAGATAATACTGTCTCCAAAAGAAACACGTGTAGTTGTGGTGGGAATACCTATGGAAAGAAGGAATATATATAGTTATTAACTAATACTGAGTTGAGAGGCTAACAGTATCACAAACAAGGCAGATTACAGGTTTTATCCTTGATTTAGTTAGAAGTTCAAGAACGTGTTTTTTTTTTTTCTTGGAAAATGGTAATTTTTTTTTAGTACTTACACTATGTACTTTAAAGGATTAATTAGTGGATGTTATGAAAGAAATCAGGGTAGCAATTTAATTTGAGTAACAAATTTGGGTAATGTAACAAAACACAATTTGGAGTGTAGGGGAAGATGACACTCCTTTATGCAAAATTGATCTCTGTTACTGCCTGTACGTCAGGCAGTACGTGACGTACATGATGTGTGCTTAAAAGCCACATGATGTTTATGTTGAAGTGTTGTGACCAGCACTGGGTGTGATACAGAGGACTAGGAAGGCCTGTTATTAAGGCCTTAGCACTTACCTTGGGTTATACCTAATGAGCAATTGGTTTAGCTTTTTTGTTTGGGATCTCTAGCATCTTGGCTGTTTAGGTTGTACTCAGTGTCCTGTCTCACTCCTTGGGAATCTTGGGCAGAGTTCCTCAATCTCATCTTCCTTTTCTCCATGTTGGAATATTTTATGGCTCCAGACCTGTGCTTCAGCTTGCTACCTTATCTCTAGTCTTCAGTTTATTCTTACTCTTCCTGTTGTTTGGTTATTTGACTGAAACCACATCGGTGAGGCTGTGTAGCAGTTAACACGACATCCCTAGGCTTTGCTCACAGACAACACCGTTCATTCTACATTCAGAGCAGTTTTTCTAGTTGTCACACGGATCTCTCTCCACTGCTGTTTCTTGCTCACAGTTTAGAAACAAGGAGCAGAGGAAGTTTTACTTCAAAATTGCTGTCTAGTCACTAATCTTATTTTTAGTCAAATCAGGTTATTGAGTTCGTGGGCATCACTAGAGCAGATATAAATAGATAATGGCATTGCTTTTAGAATCATAGAATCATTTAGGTTGGAAAAGCCTTTAAGATCATCAAGTCCAACCATTAACCTAACCCTGCCAAGTCCACCACTAAACCATGTCCCTGAGCATCACTTCCACATGTCTCTTAAATACCTTCCAGGACAGTTAGTCCACCACTTCCTGGGCAGCATGTTCCAATGCCTGACAAACCCTTTTGCTGAAGAACACTTTCCTAATGTCCAGTCTAAACCTTCCCTGGCACAACTTAAGACCATTTCCTCTTGTCGTGTCCCCTCGGAGAAGAGACCAACCCCCACCTTTCGGCAGCCTCCTTTCAGGGAGCTGTAGAGAGCGATCAGGTCTGCCCTCAGCCTCCTCTTCTCCAGGCTGAACACCCCCAGCTCCCTCAGCCGCTCCTCACGGGACTTGTGCTCCAGACCCTCCCCCAGCTCCGTTCCCTCCTCTGGACACGCTCCAGCCCCTCAGTGTCTTCCTTGCAGTGAGGGGCCCACCACTGAACACAGCACTTGAGGTGCAGCCTCACCAGTGCCCAGCACAGGGGCACAGTCACTGCCCTACTCCTGCTGACCACACTGTTCCTGACACAGGCCAGGATGCCATTGGCCTTGTTGGCCACCTGGGCACACGCTGGCTCATATTCAGCCCACTGTCGACCAACCCCCCAGGTCCTTTTCTGCCAGGCAGCTTTCCAGCCACTCATCCCCAAGCCTGTAGCGTTGCAGAGGGTGGTTGTTATCCCAAGTGCAGGACCCAGCACTTGGCCTTGTTGAACCTCATACAGCTGGCCTTTTCAACAGACCTAAGGGATACCGAGTGATTTCTGAGGATGAGAAAGTTTGTTTCCAAATCAGACTGTTAATTTGTAGTAACAGTAATGGCTGAACAAAACCAAAATGTGATCACTTGCTTTCGTGGCCGTTTGGAATTCTTTTATCTCACCCGCTGTTGTTTTCTTGCAGGCAATACTCATTGTTGTTACAGTTGCCTTCGTTCAGGTAAGGCAGCTGTTGTCCAAATAAGATTATTGCTTTTATGTAAACTCCTCTATTTATAGACTGAAGTGTTGTCTTGATGCATTGTGCTGAGAATGGTTGAGTAGAGAGTTCTGTGCTTTCATCCCAGTCTTTTGCCTCTTCTGAAGTGCATAATTTGTCCAGCTTTAACTACCTTGACATTTATGCATCTATGTTGGTATTATACTCAGCCATAAATGAGTACTTGTAAAGAAGCACTCAGAAGAAACAGTGTAGAAGTACTTAAAATATTTTAACCTCACGTAAAATAGATCTTGAAGATGTAGCTCTGGTTTCAATTTTGTACGCAAAAAAAGGTTGTCTTTAATTTGCTAAGTCATAAAAAAGTGTGTTTTCATTCTGGAAATACACAGCTTTACTCAGTATATGCCTAAACCAAAAGTGCTTTGTGTTTGTGCTTTATATCTTTCTTTACCTTAATTCTGGTATCTGTTTACTGAGTTAGAAATGAGTTGTATTACGTTAGTTCTTCAGGGACTAAGAGCATGAATACAGTATTTTTGATATTAACTTGTTAAACTGAGGAACTTAATCATGTATCTGATCCCTGAGGTTAGAAGCATTACTGCAAGTGTTACAAAGCTGAAGACATTGAAGGAAAATGCAAAGGACCTCTGCTATTCTTTCAGAAGAACCACATGTAGGCAAATCTGTAAATTTTTCAGTGTTTGGACCATATTTGCTTTTGAAAATACCTAATATAGAACTGTTGAAGGGCATCTCTTGTCTTATTGCTTGGAATATTACTTTAGTACAACTTTACTTATAAGATAAACTTCACTAGATATGGGTGTATCTTATTGTTGTTTAACTTCTGACTGTTTTAAAAATACCTGCTTTATTTTTTTTAATGTCTCTGTAGGAGTACAGATCAGAAAAATCTCTAGAAGAGCTTAGTAAACTTGTGCCTCCAGAATGCCATTGGTATGTTATTGTCTGTCCTTGCAATCCTAAATTAAGTCATATGAAGTTTAATCCAAAATGAATAAATGAAAAAGATTTTACTGAATGTATTGCCTTAGTATTAAGCTCTTATGCGGACGTAGAACATGCTTTGCTTTGCTTTTCCTCATTTTAAAGATTGCTCTATGAACCTTAAAAAGGTTACTCCGCATTGTTGCCCCTCTGATCCCTTCAAATGATTCTACTGATGTATAACTTCTAAGGAACAAGCAGCACATTAGAAATAATGCTTTGCCGAAACCGGTAATACTGCAGTGCGTAGCCAGCAGTGTGAATGCTCAGAGAAAATGCCAGAGAAGACATTCTTACTGCTCTTTGTGTTTTTACCTGCAGTGTACGAGAAGGCAGGGTGGAACACACACTTGCAAGAGATTTAGTCCCAGGTGATACAGTCTGCCTGTCAGTTGGAGACAGAGTCCCAGCTGATCTACGGTTGTTTGAGGTATATACCTAGGATTGCTTTAATATTTGATAACTTTTCTTTTTGTGGGGCAGAGGGGAAAAGAAGATAACCAGTGAATACTGAAATGCACTGTTATTGTTTGGAATTCACAATTATTTAAATGGAAAATCTGAAATCATTACTTCCCAAATGTAATCACACATTCTTTACAATATATGTAGTTGCTTATTGTAGAGTAATGAATTTTCCAATTTTATGCAGTAATGCATTCTTGAAAATTTAGCTGAATACTTTGTCCTCAATGTTAAGCATGTAAAATGATTGTTCTCAGGCTGAATGATGAGATATTTTGGCAGCTGGCTGCAGGTGTTTGAGTCTTTATTTGCGTTAATCTTTAGGGTATACTTTAAGTGTTTTTTGATAATGAATATTTTAAAAAAATTATTAATTGTGAAATTGTGCCCACATGTAATCTTTTCTCTGACACTTTCATCAGTGTGTGTTGCTGTATCTTCTAGTTTGCTGAATATTTGATAACATTAGCGCTGCTGGAAATGCCTGAGTTGAAGCAAGAGCATTGTAATAGTACTTGCAGATTCACTAACAATGAAAAGGAATGTATGTATGTTCGTCTTGCTTATTTTGATGATTTTGCTTGAATAATGCCATGTTACCTTTCTGTCAGATTGGGCATCCTCAGGTTGCCCGATATCTGGGCTATCTATCATGCTACAGTAATTTCTGGATACGATGGAGCTGTATATCCAGTATATCCATGGTTGATACTGGATTAATCTGTTTTCATTTTATAGGCAGTCTAAACAAGCTAGTTTATAAGACAAATTTCTGGCGTTCTTGAGAAATTTGTCTGGATCATCTGTTGTTATTGCGTGCAGCGAGTACTTGGGTGGGTTTGTTTTTTGTGACTGTAAACACTCTGTCTTTCCCTCGGCACTTGTGCAGTCTCCACGTTGATATGGAACTGCTGTTGCAGCAGCATCTACTTTCTTGCTCAGAAGCTTGCAGCATGGTCGGACCTCTTACAAAGCAGACACGGAATTACAAGTTTCTCAGCTGTCTGTAGCCCTTCAACCGATGAAAATGTGGTCTCTCCTTATCTCAACTACTCTTACAGATTATTTGAAAATAAGAGCCTGTCATCTTAGTTTCATCTGGTCTATACCGGCCATTGTTACAGGGCTGTGGTGTTGAACATTAGATGGAGATTGTCTTTTCAGGGAAAGATCTAGATCTCTTCTGGTAATTCTGACTGATGCTGTCCTAGAAAATTGTAGAACTGGTAATTAGTCACTATTTACTTTCTGAAGCCTTTCGTATACGGTGAGAAATTTCTTCTCCATTTTAATCTTGCAGGGGCAATCTTGTTTGCAAGACTGTGTTTAAAGACCTTTTCTGGCCTAAGTTTTCTGTATGTTAATGAGTTGTCCAACAAGTTCTACGGTAATCTTCTCTATAGCCAGAATATTACATCTAGAACTAACAGACCTATAACAGTGTAGACTTTAAACACAATTCTTTTTGGTAGTGATGATAAATGTTTCGGACCTCATGGCTAAATCTGAACAGTAGCAAAGTGGCATCTTCATCCTGTTTCAGCTTGGATTCTGAGGAATACGTCGCAAATAAAAAAATCCCTGTACAGCTTTCTGGAGTTAATTGTTCCTTATGGCTTTGACTGGAGAGTCATTGTAGATTTTGGCAAGTGTCCCTTTTCTTTTATTGATACAGCATCTATCTTTTGAAAGAGGGTACTGCACTGGTAACTATTTGAGAGAATAGTAGGAATTAGAGGGATTTGACCTCTCAGAAAGCACTTTAGTAAAGGTACTATCCTCTTTTAACATTGACTAAATTATTTTTGATCTAGCAGCCTGTGTTCATTTTGTTGTCCAGCTAATACTGGAGTGCATCAGAGCTATCATGCCACTTGAAAAACCAACAAAACACAACACCAAAAAACCTCAGTTTGAACCTCAGAGTGATCTGCTGTAGTGTGGTGGTAGAGAGTGTGATGTAACTGATTCTTGCTTGCTCCTTGCAAGTGATATTCTTTCAAAGAGTTTTGGCAATTGAGTTTTATTATGCATCCTTTAACGCTGTTTTTCTTGAGAAGGTTATCTTGAAATTTAGTGCTATGGTCACCAACAGTGGTTTTATCCTTTTTAATAATGCAAAATTATTTTACTTAAATTTTGTGAGCAGAATTTTATGATTCAGTCTTTGGCGCTGTTCAAGACCATTAAAGTCAATATGTTAAGATGTATGAATTGATATTACCTGGGGAAAGATATTTCTCTTAATTTTATCTTTTGATAAGTTGTTTTTTGGATTGTATTTATAAAACACACTTTACTTTCTCAATCTATAAACTCATTAATACAGAATAATTCAGTTTTAGCTTTCCTTCTCTAACTACTCCTACATGCTACCCTAAAAACTACAAAAATTAAACCTAAACCAAGAAAAAGGCAGTTTCTGGTCCTCTAGTCTACGTGACTGTTGCCTGAATAGCATTTTTCTTACAGAGAATTTGTGAACAAAAAACAGTGTATGAAACATGGTTCTTGTTAGCGAGTTTTTAATGGACCATGGTAGGAGGAAGTGGTCAGAGGAAGAGTTCATAGGATTATATGTACATACACTTGCATTCCCAGTTAATTATTTTATTTGGTGACAGAATGCATCACAGTCGCAACCTCTTGGAAGTTTTGGAGAAAAACAATCGTGAACATAGAATTATGAGGAAACTTTGAGTCTTGAAATGAGAGCTTGTTGCATTGCTGCAATAGTCCAGGAGTGCGTGTTGTTTTCTTAATCCCTAAAACATGGTTGATAATTAACACAGCTTCTTAACGTGTGAATACATTGGATGTATTTTTAATGGTCAAAATGGGGAAGCTTCTATTAACACTTCCAACTACTTACAAAAGATTGGCATGCTTTTTGCTTATTTTGTTTTCAAAGGCTGTGGACCTTTCTATTGATGAATCCAGTCTCACGGGTGAGACAGCTCCTTGCTCTAAATCTACGACTCCTCAGCCAGCAGCAACCAATGGAGACCTTACTTCTAGGAGCAATATTGCTTTCATGGGAACATTGGTCAGATGTGGAAAAGCAAAGGTAAAGCTCTTATTGATAGCGAAGAATATGTTCCATGTTTCAGCTGTTTGAAGGCAGTTCTTCTTATTAATCTGTCAGTTGAGAAATGTATGCATATATTAATGACTGCATATATTTTGAGTCTTCTGAAACAATAGAAATGGAATAGAAATAGAAATTTTTACTGGAAATATGAAAGACTACTGTGATACACTGCAAGGCTTTTTCTCATTGGTGCTTTTTCCAGACACCAGTTTAAAAAGAAAATTAACCTAGGCCCAGAAGAGCTTAAAATTGTAGGGAGCAGATGATGTGAAACTCTTCTGGCTAGGATATGGTGTTTTTCTTCCAGAACTACAGTCACGTCTTTGAAAAATCTGTAACCGAAAATGCAGTTGTGGCAAGTGTTAGATAGGTGTTACCTTATTTAAGTGTTGTTACTGGTAGTTACTAAATACTTCAGCAGTGCACAAAACAGCAATTTGTTTCACTGAGGCAAAATGATTTTTAGCAAAAATATTCCCTACTCATGCCAAGAATTAATTTTATAAACAAAGCTAACAAAATCATAGCAGGATAAATGGCACTTGACCACTGGTTGAGTCAAAGCTGTCAAGAGCAACCAGTAACATTAAAATCAAACTTCAGATTTGAATTGGCTTTTTTTTTTTTTTTTAGGGCATAGTTATTGGAACAGGAGAAAACTCTGAATTTGGGGAGGTTTTCAAAATGATGCAAGCAGAAGAGGTAAGAGTGAATATTTAGAAGCAAAGACGTGTTTTGTAAGTGTTTATTTAATTCATTAAAACTTTGAATTTGTTCCATAGGAACTTAGTTAAACTTAATTACATTGCTTTTAATATTTTTCTTTCCTCTAGTGAAAAAAATCTTAGCTCTTGAACATGAAAGTAGTAATTCAATTCAGTGGAACCAAATAGCCATAGCTGACCTAAAAATATTAACTGTGAAAATAATATCCTGAACCTGTTCAGTGGAACAAATCTCACTGCAATTTGTGGAAATATATTTTTTTCAAATGGAACTACATTTGAGCAAAAGAAATTTGTGTGACAGATTTGTGGGCTGCATGCGCAGGACAATGTTTTCCCTTGATTAGCAGACTACTTTAGGGTGATGTGTGTGTCTCCCGCTGCTTCATGATCTCCACCTTACCCTTTTATAAGTGGTGTTTGATTCTTATATATCAAACTCCCACTGTGATTTTTCTTTATTGCACTACACTGATCCACATGGGAATTCAGATTCTTGAATGGTTTGTATATCTAGGGCCTTCTAGCTGCTTCTCTGGCTGCCTGAGCTGTGTAGGATTATAAGGAGACACTCTGTCTTCAGCTGTCAGGACATGATCAGGCCCCATATATTTACATTTCGGAAGTCTGTCAAAACAGAGCAACTAAGGGCAGTAAATGTGTCAGCCAGGAGTTCATCACCAAGCTCATGTTGTTAGTTGCAGTGTCTCACTACACCTTTCAAGGGAATACTGCTGTCCGGTCACCGAAGTAGAACTTGCTTTGATGCACATGTGAGGAAAATATGATCATATGTTCAATAATACTTAGTTTGTATCATAACATGTATAATTATTAGTGAAAAACAAACAAACAAAACCCCAAAAAAACCCAAAACACAAAAAGCAAACCAAGAAAAAGAAGCCTATGTGAGCATTCTACACAAAAAACATTCTGAAATATCAGTTTTGTAGGGATATTTTTGATGTTTATATTACGGAAAACTCATTTAGAAGTGTATTTTCAAAATAAGAGTGATTCAGGCTCGATTCCAGCTTTCTCATAGAGACTACTCACTTTGTGCATAATATGTGAACAAACATGTTTTTGCAATGATTCTGTCTTCTTTTTTTCCCTATGCTTTCTATACTGTAGTCCACCACGTATTGTTGTTAAAAAACCCCAAACTTACTGTCATCCAGTATAAAAATGCACTTTCCTGCTTTTTTTCAATTAAATTTTTTGCTTTGTGTCCCCTTCTTCTTTCTATGATTTCTTTTTTTTTTTTGGGACACTAGATAGTCTGAATATTTCTATTGTTTTCTATTTGGTTAAATTAAATTTTCTTCTGATGATTAGCAAATTCCTTTTGAGATATAATTGCCCTTCCAGGGCTGTAATGCCTTTGTCTGAGGCATAAAAACTGAGTTTTTATTCTTACTATCAAGACCTTTTCAGTCTTAGAAGTGTTGCAGTAGCTATTAGCCACTGTGATTTGATTTTTTTTTTTTAAATAAAATCTTTGATATGACCTTTTGTATTAGATTTGCTGTAGACATCACAGAGCTCCCAAAGAATATATCTAATAAATTTTTCATTTCACTGAAGTGTTCTTGAATCTTCTTGAATTCTACACAAGAATGGAGCAGAGTACACTGTTTTCACAAAGTAAATATCTGGAAACATAGGGTATAACTACAGCTTATTCATTGTCAGTGTCTTGAAATTTCCACATCTGAATTAATATGAGGTACAGTTCATGCTTTTTAACCTGTGCTTAACTGTTGCATGTTTACCATTCATCAAGGCTCCAAAGACACCTCTGCAGAAGAGCATGGATCTCTTGGGAAAGCAACTTTCCTTGTATTCCTTTGGTATAATAGGTAAGAGAATTTATGTAAAACAATTATTATGTAATGGAAATTAATGTGTAGGCTTGGGAAAATGCAAGGCATGATCTCTTTTTTTAAGGTATTTTGGTTCTTTACTTAATTGGTCACTTTGAGTTCATGCCACTAATCATCTAAAGATTACTAATGTGACATAACTTCCATCATAAGGATGTTTACTTGCTTCTTCCTGCAAATACTTTTCTGACTTTTTGTCCTCTAAATGCTTCCTTTTAAATTGCAGTGTGTCTTGTATTCTGGTTCAAGATATACGTGAGTGAGTACCTCACTGTTAGTATGGTTGGGCAACTTAACTGGCAGAAACTTTCTTCACCTTTTCCATATTAATGGAATCATGCTTTGACAGGGAATGAAATAAGTTTTTTATAGATAAGACAATGATAAGCTTTGGTTTGGCTATTTGAGTTGTTCCCATGAGGCTACAGTACGTGCTGGCTTTATATTTATGCTGACAACTATTTTCTTTATAGGAGTTATTATGCTGGTTGGCTGGTTGCAAGGAAAGCATATCCTTGATATGTTCACAATTGGAGTGAGGTAAGAGTTTTGTCTTGAACTAGTGTAGATCGTGCATTACAGCAAGTGTCTGAAAGCCAGTGACGTACATTGTAATACACTTGCACACAGACTGCACTGTTACGTTCACCTAAGTAATTCAAAACAAAAACAGACTTTGTGCTGTAAAAAAGCAAATTTATGCTCATTTTTAGTGATAGTGTGTTCTTGTCAATCTCTTAAACGGTGGATTTGTATGGTGATTCCTGTGTGTCTTGTGGAAGATCTGCAAACAGACAGCAGAGTTGTACGTTTTGAGTTTCCGTCACTGAATAAATGAAGTAAATGTAATTTTGTAAGTGGCATCAGACAAAACTAAGTTATTGCAAGCCTTGTCGTGCAGCTGATTAGCTCATTTTCCAGCATATTATGGAAACTTAATCCCAGGGTGTTGTCTGCTGAGAACAACACTGGATTTACATGCTCTATCTCTGTGCTCTTAGAAGTTGCTGAGTTGCTAATTACATGGACAGTGCCTGAGGTAGAAGTGTTTCTTTAAATGACAGGATCAGACCACAGGTTTACCCTTTTGGGGAGAGGGGGAAAAAAAGCACCAGGAATGAGTTACTCTAATCTTGTTAATATTGTTACCGGGTTTTTTTATTTGTTTGCTTTTTAAATGACCTTCTGTGCCATTCCTGCACTTGGCTAGCTGCCACATTGTGATCTGGGAGTGACAGCTGTGGATCAGTGGTCACCTGAAACGATTGCATTTCCTTGTTCTGTTTAGTGCTGACTACACTTATTCTTCACAATCTGGGCTGCTTGGCACAGGACTAATGAGTGTTTTGTGTAGGCAGAACAGATGTACAGTTTATTTGTACCTCCCTCCCCACAACTTTTCTTCATAATTTTGCATATATAATGAGTAGAAACATGGTAAGTTACTGCATATTGTTACTGTCTTCAGTGTGTATCTTACCGAAAGGTATACAACTGGAATCAAACAGCAGCTGCTTCCTTTCACTTTTAACCTCAGTGAAGAGACAGCGACAGCAACTATGTTCTGAAGTGTAACTGTACCGTTCCTGTGTGTTCATCTATGACATTCTGCTACAAGATTTGTATCTTCACTTTCATTACAGTTTGGCTGTAGCTGCAATCCCTGAAGGACTCCCAATTGTGGTAACAGTGACACTGGCCCTGGGTGTGATGAGGATGGTGAAGAAACGGGCTATTGTAAAAAAACTGCCTATTGTTGAAACTTTAGGTATGACTAGACTAACTTAAAGGTAGTATTTTGATATAAATGTTAAGAAATCAATACAAATACTGATGATAATGGTTAAAATAAAGCAGGTACGCTTATTCTGCTGGCAGTGTGGTGTTGTCTTTAAAACACTTCTGTAGTGAATGCATTTCACGGAGTTAGAATTCAGTTCCATGTTGTTGTGGGCCCTCTGATTGCTCTTTTTAACAGAAATAAATGGCCTGTCAGTTAATAGCACGTCACACTAGCAGTACTCTAAACTGTGTGAATGGTTGGATGTATGTAGTAGTCTTTATACTTGTTCGCTGTAACATGTTCTTGTTAAATGAGACTTGTAAAATGTGTTTTAAACTACATTTTTGCTGTAAATTCAGGAATGATATTATGACACTTGGAAACAATTCCAAGTTTCAATATTAGAAAAACTTGGTAAACATCCCGAAGGTGCATTACGATATGCTGCTCATATTAAGATATAAAATAATTTAAAATCATTGAAGCTTAAACATTCTGTACGCAGTTTGGCATGAAACATGTAAAGCACAGGACATGGAAAATAAAAAGAAATACTAAGTTAAATAATTTTCTTGCATTTTAATTTCTTTTTGCATCTGAAGATTGGAAATGTTTTTTGCAATGCCTCTAGCAGAGTTGCATTAGTGTTGCAAGGTTTTCTGTTGCTTCAGTAATTCTACTATCATGTCCAAAAATTTCATGATACTGCAATGGTCTTTCAAACTACTTTGGGTTTTTTTGAGTTAAAAAGGCATATACAGATTTCACATTTCTGTAATCTTTTCAATCTTAATAAAATTTGCAGGTTAAGTAGTAGTTGTGTGACTGAGGTGTGGCTCAGTGCTAGATAGTTGTGCTTCTTGATAAAGAAGAGTGACGGCTGTAAAGCAAGCTCTTGACTTTCCTCCTTACCAGGAGCTGCAGTGGAGATTTCAGTAATACAGGCTGAGATACAGCAGAGTAAATCAGAGAGGTAGTGAATGGAGGAGTTGTGAATTTGGGATTTTTACTTAGTTTTTTTGGTTCATTGGGCAAACTTGCAAAGAACCTTGTACAGCTATTCTTTAATAGTTGAGAATTGGCTCTTTGTAAAATTCTGGGGTTTTTTCAGCTGCTGCAGTATTACTAGAAATTTGCTAGTCTTGAATATTTTTGTTGTTGTTAGTTACTCTCATTCTATTCAAGCATTGTCTTATAAATGTTAATTGCTTATTTCAGGTTGTTGCAACGTAATTTGTTCAGATAAAACTGGAACTCTGACAAAGAATGAAATGACTGTTACTCATATTTTTACTTCAGATGGGCAGCATGCTGAGGTACGTAGTGAGACTCTGTCAGACTTTAATTTTCCTTTTTACTTCATTGTGTGTCTTGGCTGAAACACGCTTGAGTATACTGCAGGTAAAGCATCAGTTAAGAAAGCATGAATCTGTAGCACCAACTTCCTGTTCCTCAACTTCCAGCTAATTCTGTTCTTCAGTTCACTTAGTATTGCAGCCTTTGAGCTGTGTTTTCCAAGCTGCCTTTGGTTGTAGAAGAGGTTTTTTTTGTACAAAATGTTAAGTTCTTCTATGTCTTGATAGCTGTAGGTCACAATAAAATACATGCTGATATAAAATACAAAGACAAGTTGAGAGATTGTGGTTTTTCTTCAGTACAGAAAGCTGAGGCTTTTTTTGCTGTTGCAGGTGCTTAAAAATAAAATGTGCATGTTGGAAACATTTAAAATAGGGATATCCAGTTTTTGGCTAAAAGTCAGCGTATTATGTGAACCCTTCATACTGAGTGTGTACTGTCATTCTTGCTTTGGCATAATGGATGGATTTGGAAGGAGGAGCAGGATGTGAAACAGTGGTGGTTGAGGTTGGGGAGTTGCTGCAAAGATTGAAGTACATGCACAAAGGAGAAGCAAAAGCAGCAGG